ACCACTCTGGCTAATTTTTAATTTTTTTTTGTAGAGATGGGGGGTTCTCACTATATTGCCCAGCCTGGTCTTGAACTCCTCATCCCAAGCAATCCTCCTGCCTTGGCCTCCTAGAGTGCTAGGATTATAGGTGTAAGCCACTGTGCCTGATCCGTGATGATAAAGTTAGAACATGGTTTGTTTCTCCTCTGGCTGTATTCTCTCTCTCCTTTGCATTCCATGACTTGCAAAGACTATCTAGGAAATGAATCTCTTCCACCTCTTTCAAGGCCCAAGCGAAATGTCCTCCTCCAGCAAGTCCTCCAGGCTCTCTCTGACCTCTTCTGTGAACTCTTCTGTGTGCCCTATTTCCTGTATACTTAGCATAGTGGATCTGATTCAGGGAGCCTAGTTTCCGAGCTTCTGAAGAGAAGGGTGTATCTCATTTATCTTCAAATCCCCAGTGGCACCCAGCACACAGTAGGTGTTTGATAGGATCTGCTGATTTGTCCTTAAGGGAAGAGAAATATGTAGTAATAGGTTCTTCCTCATAGGAAGCAACCATTGTGATTATTAGAGAGAGAATATAGGAAATGCAGTAAAGCTATTTTTTTTTTCCTTCTTGTTCCCAGTTTCCTAATTTGAGGCCAGTGCAGGAATGAAGCCCCTTCTCCCAGCTGGAGACCATTCACTTCCTCATCTCTAAGACCCCAGAGGTGTCTTCCCCAAATGCCTGAGCCATTGGCTCTAATAGGCGCAGCTGGATTCTGTTCTGCTACAGTCTCCTGCCCGTATCCAGCCTCTGCTGCCCCTACCCTGGCTCTGGCCACTGTGTCCTCTCCCCTAGCACAGAGTGGGGCCTCAGCTCCCTAATATAACTGCAGGAGATGCTCAAACCCTGTTTCCCCTGTCCTGCCCCACAGTGCCTGTGGCTCCCAGCAGAGTCCTAGGCCCTGATGAAGTTGTTCCCATGAAATGTTCTTGCCTCATGTATTCCTCTTCCGGGTGGTGTCTTTTTACCCCCAGAGAACTCAGGCGAGGGCATAGCCCAGGGATTGTGCGCCAGGGTGAAGCACATCCATCCCTCTTGGAAGAGAGAATTTGGGTCCTACAGGGGGGACTCCTAGCAAAGCATGGCTTTGGAGTTGGACAAACTTGGGTTCTGAGTCATACCCTACCCCATCCTTGACTTTAGACAGGTTGACCTCTGTAAGACGGAACTTCCCCATATATAAAATGGGTGCACTAATCCCACCTCCTGCAACAGATGAGAAAAACAGAGGGGAAAAAAATAAATGGAATACATACAGTAGGTGCTCAGCATAAGGTCGCTCCTTTCCCACCAGGAGATGTTGTAGAAATGAGAAAAAATGGGGAACACAGGCAAAGATGAGGCAGAATTTATTCTCATTGTGGGTAAGTCCAAGACTCAGGATGGAGACCACAGAGAGGCAGTCCCCAAAAGGGAGTCCACGCTGGGGGCAAGGGCCACACTTCTGTGAGTGCCAGGCCCACAGTGCCCCCGTGACTATGAGGATCCAGAGCCCAGAAACCGGGTGAGAGTGTGTGGGGTGGGGAGGAAGACAGGGTCCCCCCCAGTTGTGTCCTGACCATGTTTCCGACTTCCATAGGAAGGAAGAGCAGCTCGGCTATATAGAAATATAACATAGAGAGAGGTGTAGAGAGCGGGCCGCGGCACCCGGACAGGGCTGACTCCCCGAATTATTGCAGGAGGGAGAGGGGCTCAGTGCTGGTGTGTCCGCGGTCACTGTGCTGGCTGTCGGGAGGGCTGGGTGGGGCTGGGAGCTGGGCCGGCCCCTCCCTCTGGGGGGTGCCTTGAACCCTGCCTGCCGACTGCCCCGGCATAGGGCTGTCTCACCCTGGTGCTTTTCATGTGCTTTGAAGACCATTTTTGCATTGTCAGGAGTGAGGAAAAAATATTCTGACATGGTAGAAAAGAAGATATTTACATACCCTGGTGGGCCATAAGGGGAAGGGTCTGTCTGTGAGGGGGAGGGGCTTCCCAGGTGGCTGTCCCCGCAGCAGCAGCCACGGTGTGGGGTGGTGTGCGGGGAGGAGAGGCCTGGGCTGGGAGGCAGGATGCCCTGGCTCTGACCTTTGCTTGCCATGTGACCCAAGACACGGTACACCCCCTTCAGGCCTCAGTCTCCCCTGTGATACAGGAAGGGGTGGACGTGGGCTGAGATGCCAGGATCTTATGGTTCCTGATCCTAGGCAGGGTGGCAGGGGTGGCTCAGAGCTGGGCAGTGCAAGGTTGGCAAAGGGACTTCCAAGTGAGGAGGCCTGGGCCATCGGGGGAAGGCAGCAGAGACGGGAGGGGAACTTGTGGGCCCTCACCCTGGCTGGGCAGCCAGGGCCAGCTGAGGGCATTTCGTGTACTCTGCTGTGAGTCTACATGAAAGGCGGCCAGTAGGACTGGCCAGGAACCCTGTTTTCCTGTTGAAGCAGCGATGGGAGCCAGGTGGAGACTGCAGGTGGCCCCCCGGGCTAGAGGGAGGACCCAGACCTGAGATACAGCCAAGGTGGGCTCACCCAGACAGAGACAAGGGTGGGCCTGGTGCTGGTGCGGTTCAGAAATGGACCCTGGCTCCGGCCTCCAGGTGTAGGGGGCAGCTGCATGAGCTTCTCCCCAGGTCCCGTGGGTGTTGAGACCTGGGCAGCATCACGCTGAGTCACGCCTCCTCATTCATAACATGTCATCCACGGTCACGCATATGTGCCCCAGCCTTGACAGATAAACACACATCTCCAACATTCATCCTGATACCCAACTGTGTGGACACACATGTGATCACACACAAGGACCTCATAGAATACACTCCTCACAGCACACACACGCACGCACACAAACGCACACACAGACATGCATGCATACACACGCATGCA